ATTCTTTTTACTAAAGTCAATTTTCAAGGAATTTTTACTATCTTTGGCCTTTTATTCCCTAGCACGGTCATGATGTAAGTCATAGGGTATAAACAAACAAACTTGAGTGGGCATCTTTGTTTTAGAAGAATACAAGGAAATACTATGCAATAATTTAAAAACTAGCTGCCTACATATGACTTCATAGATAAGCCTTGAAAGAATTATATCATCTTAAAATTTCAAAATTAAAAAATAAGTTCTGTTAACCTTGGGTGAAAGTTTAGAGTTTATAATTTGTTAGAATTTGTAAGTCACCAGAACATTATTGCCAGACCTGACTTAGTGTGCCAGTAGATCAGGTTAATGGGAACTGTCGGATCAGCAGTGTTCCATAGTGACAGTTGTGGTTCATGCAGAGGGGAAAGTGGACATCCTTTTAATGTTTTGAGTGATTGACAGTGTTGGGAAATATGGTAGACATTTTCTGTCCTGAATACTGCTTTGGTACCTGTGTACGTTAGTGCCCACTGGCATCACCAAGCAGGGCTGTATGTAAGCTTTTATTCTTTCTTTCTTTTTTTTTTTTTTTGGAGACAGAGTCTCACATTGTTGCCCGGGCTGGAGTGCAGTGGCACCTTCTCTGCTCACTGCAACCTCTGCCTCCTGGGTTCAAGTGATTATCCTGCCTCAGCCTCTCGAGTAGCTGGGATTTCAGGCGCCCACCACCACACCCAGCCGATTTTTTGTATTTTTCGTAGAAACAGGATTTCATTGTGTTCGTCAGGCTGGTCTTGAACTCCTGACCTTGTGATCCGCCTGCCTCAGCCTCCCAAAGTGCTGTAATTACAGGCGTGAGCCACCACACCTGGCCACTTTTATTCTTTAAAAAAATTTTTCTTTGGTAACTCTTATTATATTAGACCCTCTTATGTATAACTTCTGCAACAAGATTTTCCTATGAACCATTCATCTCTCTTAACATTTCTATGTCTTCTAGTATGTATACTAATAAATGACTTACTCAGTAAAGGAGTAAATGAGTTATATGTTATCAGTAAATGAGTCTTTAATCAGAAAAGTAAATTCTGTATTAAGGAAAATCAAATTTGGTGGAGGCGTTTTATGTATAGTTAAAACTGCTTTTGTTTGATTATTCCTTTTTTTTATTGAGAAGGAACATTGGAAGTGTTGCTCAGAGAAATATCTGAAATTTTCATATTAAGTTGGGTTCATTTTAATTTGTTCAACAAATAATTTGAAAGTTATGTGGTTAAAGAATGCAAAGTGGTTTTAGTTGGTACATGTATTTTTAGAAAGCTGGAAAAGTGGCTGGGCACAGTGGCCCATGTCTGTAATCCCAGCACTGTGGGAGGCCAAGGCGGGCGGATCACGAGGTCAGGAGTTCAAGACCAGCCTAGCCAACATGGTGAAACCCCGTCTCTACTTAAAATACAAAAAATTACCGGGGTGTGATGGGGGACACCTGTAATCCCAGGTACTCGGGAGGCTGAGGCAGGAGAATTGCTTGAACCTGGGAGGCAGAGGTTGCAGGGAGCCGAGACTGTGCCACTGCGCTCCAGCCTGGGCGACAGTGCGAGACTGTCTCCGGAAAAAAAAAAAGCTGGAAAAGTATTCTCTTCCACTACTGTATCAGAATGTTTGAGAGAGTCTGATTGTGAATCTCCATTTTAATAAGCTTCTCAAGTGATTTTTTAATATGCACACTAAAGTTTTAGAACCACTGCTGAATTCCCTACTGATGGCTTTTAGGCTATTGGCTCCTGACTTTTCTGATGGAACCCCTTTTGTCCCCACATGGGGAAAGGATGGAGGTAAGCTGTTCCTGATGACCTGCCATTCTCTAGACCGTGAAATTTTCAAAGCTTACAGGTCAGCCTTAGAACAATGAGATCTGTGAATAGCCTTCTGCTCTAAGTCTTTCCTCAGCTGGCACTCCTGTGGTAGAGGAACATGTGACGTTAATAGTGATGTACAACCCTATGTATCGTGTCGGAATCTTCACTTAATATTTTCAAAAATGTTAACACTTCTAGCAAGGTAGGAATTACCGGTGAGGAAATATTGCCAGTAGGAAATACTGGCCAGGATTGTAACTAAGGTTGATTTATTTTAAAGCTCAGACTCTTGACAGTACACATGCCATCCTACTTTTTAGTGGAAAGGGCTTGGGGTGTGGGTTCAGGGAGTCTTAAATTGGAAGTATGACTTTATCACTTACTTGCTTTTCTAACGACTTTACACTTTATTTGGGAATTCTTAAGTTGTTGTAGCATTGGTTTGATAAGCTCTTGAAGCCAGGAGCTTGAGACCAGCTTGAGCAACCAAGTGAGACCCCCATGTCTACAAAAAGAATAAAAGCATAAGTAGTATTTTGAATTACCCAATACAGCTTAAAATCTTCTCAGAACTTCACTGTATTGTACTTGAATGAACTTTACAATAAAAACTTTCCCCTTTTGTTGAATCTGCACAGTATTTGAAGTTTATAATCCAAAAAGGCGATCACTGGTTATATACAAATTTATGTTTACTATATGGAATGTGTTTATTTTAGTTGTCTAAGGCATAAAATCTTTAAAATTTTTCCAACCTTGTTAAGACAAGAAATCATGGATATTTTAGTAGGTTCCTTAGCTCCTTTGGAAGTTTGAAATCAAGAATGTTTAAGTAATATTGAGATTATGCTTTTATGGTGACTTTCTATGTTTGGGCCGTTATTTACTACTAGTCTGACTATTGTTGGCAGATTGAAGTGTATTTGTGAGAACTCCTAAGACTTTAGTATTTTATTGAAAATTGGTTTCATGCTGTTGTTTACATTTTAAAATTAGTGCTCTCAATAAGATTTTGGTTTTCATCTATCCTGAATTCTCCCTAGGAGTGCACAACTTCAAAAAAAGAGGCACAGTCAGCAGAAAAAAGAGGTGGTCTGCGCATTTGTGTGTTGAATATGCATGTTAATTAGGAAAAAAATTAGGAAAATATGAAAACAGATGTTACATAAATTATTGCAGTCCCAGGGCAGCAGTAACTTATACACTGACAATAAGTTTTATATGTGCATGTGTATATCTATTTCTAGATTTCACAATATTTATGTAATTCCTAAGAGAATAGCTAGAAAAAGAACTGGTATATCCTTTCAGTGAGACTATGGTAAATATTCCTTCTGCATATGGATTTCTGAGAAAGTTTAGTTGTTTCATATAGTCTTACTGTAGAGATGTTTTTTTGTTTTTGCTAATTCTGCCCATAGTGTTCTCTTTTTTTTTTCTTCTCCTTTCTTGGTTTCTTTGATGGTAGGTGTCTCAATTTGTTCTTTTGTTGGCTATATCCTGTCACAACCAGAAGGTTAATTAAGGATCTTGGCAGCGTAAGAAATTGAAAATTGGCCTAAAATAAAAAATTGATCTAAAGTATGTATTTAGAAATAAAACACATTACAACTACTCAGGACACTGATTGTAGTGTTACTTTTTCTTCTTGTTACCGTTACACTTTCTGAAGAAATAGCCGTCATTCTCTGAATAGTAGTGACATAGTACTATGACAATATATATTGGTACTTAAATACAGATTTCATCAAATACACATATGTTGGAGTAGTTGAAAACTATTTGAATATCTTTTATTCTAAACAGGCATCCGAAGGGAATAAAAGTGGTCTGTATTTTTACAAAAGAAAGATGAGAAATAGTCATGCTTTGTTTTAGTGGTATAGCAATTTTTAGTTCAACCATACATGAAAAAATGTGAATATAGCACTGTGCAAGGAGCAGCTGATGATATTTAGATATTTTCCATATATGTAATATAATTTAGGAAAATATTGTTTGTTACTTTTCAAATTAGATTGAAAGTTAAAATAAGAAAATGCAGCATCACAATGTAATGCATAATTCTCTTCACCAAACCGACACACAAATAGTGCATGAATTGTATTCAATAAAATGGGTATATCTAAAAGGACAAAAAAAGTTTCTGGAAATCCTGTTTCCGGAAGAGTGACTTTTGTTACTCGATTTTAGTAGCATGTGATACTAAAATGTGTTTGAAATAATTTGTATTGAATCTCAGTAAATTTCAGTTGGAATCTGTTGTCAGCTTTTTCAGTTTCATGTTGTTGATTATGTTTTACATTATATTAGCTAACTGCTGCTATCTTTTTATATGTGTACCGAGCCACCAGTAAGCTCTTAACAGGTTGTTGAACCTTAAGAACTAATAGAGAATGAAATCTAGAGGAAGTTGATAATATATTTAGTAATTTTTTTATTATTAAGAGGTTCTTTACTTAAATTGGATAGCCTGGTTAAGAAATTTCGTTGTTAATCTTACAGATTTTATGTAAATATATCTGTGTATGATTATTTATGGAGGTGTATTACTGAAGATGAAAAAAGTTTTTTCTTTAGAAAAAGGCTGTGAAAATTAATTTTAACACCTAAATAATATTCACTTGTCATCACTGATGCATCTGTATTCTAATTTTACATTTTATTAATGCTTTAGAATCCATTTTAAATGGAATTTTTTTCTCATTTGTTTTCAAATGTCAAATTTCCATTTTTATATTATGTGATTTTAAAATATGATATTATTTTACTATGTGTTAGAATAGTATGTTTCTTATTTCAACACTTTTTTGCCATTTCAGTGCAAAGTTAAATGAATTAGAGGTGATCGTTTTATAGTGAAACCTGTTGTTTTTGTATTATATATGTAAAATGCCATTTATTTTTGGTATTATAAAATGCCTCTCTTTCTTCCAGGAGTTAAAATAGGTGAAGGAAAGAGTGATTAATGAGTAGGCTAGTATTTGTCCTCTAAGAACTTAAAATATTTTGATAGGAATTCTTTTTAGCCTGCTTTTTGTATGGTATTGTTTGATATGATTTAGGGTTTGATATGATTTAGGGTTATGATTTATGATTTGATATGATTTAGGGTTTCTCCTGGGGTAGGAGCATTTGAAGCTATTTTCTTTATTTTTCTAGGGAGATGCTGTTTTTCCAGCAGTTAAGAGAGAACTTAGCTTGTCTCTGTTTCTTGATTCCTCTTCAATTTCTGTTTGCAAACCAAGACTTGTGTTTGGAGAACTCTGTTGTACTGAGCCTAAGTCATTTTTGATCTATAACAAGAACATGCATTTTCACATGTCAACCAGATTTGTGGACCAGTAAAGTTCTCCCCAAAGGTAAGCATATATTTATTCAAAATATACATTTTAAAATAGAATACTCTCAATACCCTTACCATAGTAATGCGTTCCATAGATTTTTGTACAAAAAAAAGTATGTGTGCTTGGGTACTTCTGCCAAATTTAGATTGAAGAGTCCTTCAGGGAATAGTGTTGGCCAGTCAACACGGTTACTCAGTTTTCTGATCTGTTTCTGTCCTGCCTCCTACTTTTAGTCACCAGTTTCCATTCTTTCCCCTTTGTCCATTGTTTTTCTTCTCAGTTAGCTGAGTCTTCAGGGTGTCTTTTAAAAGTGTTTTCCCACCAGCAGACTTCAGCATTTTCCTTAGGGAATACTTTTTGTATCCATAGACCTTTTATTTTCTTTTCTCTACTCCCCACTCCCCAACCATTTCTTACAGAAGTAGGAAACTAGAATGATTGAACTTAGAGCTGGAGGTATATCGGATAACATTCACAATTTTTTTCCTTATTACAACCCGTAGTGAGGAATAAAATGTACATTTATGAGCCGAGTCCTATGGGTATAAATGAAACTGAAACAAAAGTTTAATTCTTACTCCAACTACTTGGGATGTGGTGTATGCTATATTATATTATATTCTTTGTATATTTTATTTAATGCTTCCTGGTATGTGTCACTTATGCAATTTCAGAATCCCAGCTTTAGATCACGTGAATGTTTGCTCATCACTGATTTTTTGGGAGAGTAAAATAAATGAGATAGTTTCTCTTCTGCCTCAGTGAAGCTGCCTTTTTTCTTGTCTCTTCTGTGCTTCTCATCTCTTTCCCCATTCAATACAGGCTATCAAATGACTTAGTGAGAGAACTGGGTAACTGCTGGAAAACACCACAGTCCTTACTGGGTTCTTTTACAGTAAGAACATAGGCACAAGTACTGAGATCTCAGAATTTTAAAGGAGAATAAATTTTTGATATAATCATGTCTTTATAGTAAGGTGTATATTTCTTTATTCTCTTCTTGTGTATTTTGTCTGTTTAAATTGTATGTGCATCCAGATGCCCTCAAATCATTCTTGGTTTGAAACATGTTTAACTTTTTATATCCTGAATATCAAGTTAGAATAACCCAGGTCCTTTCCCAAAGTGGTCTCTTCTAGTACCCATTCCCATTTTATTTAACATTTGTATCTTTTTAATAAATTGAAGACATTTTTTCCTGATGTATAAAAGTAATATTTTTTTATTAAAAAGTTTGGTAAATGTAGAAAAACATAAAGAGGATAAAAATTGTCCCTAATCCTGGCTGGGCATGGTGACTCACACCTGTAATCCCAGCACTTTGGGAGGCTGAGGTGAACAGATTGCTTGAGCTCAGGAGTTGGAGACCAGCCTGGGCAACATAGCAAATCCCCATCTCTGTGGAAAAAATAAATGTTGGCCGGGCGCAATGGCTCACACCTGTAATCCCAGCACTTTGGGAGGCTAAGGCAGGTGAATCACAAGGTCAGGAGTTCGAGACCATCCTGGACAACATGGTGAAACCCTGTATCTACTAAAAATACAAAAAACTTGCCGGCAGTCGTGGTGGTCACCTGTAATCCCAGCTACTCGTGAGGCTGAGGCAAGAGAATCGCTTGAACCTGGGAAGCAGAGGTTGCAGTGAGCCGAGATCATGCCACTGCACGATTTATTTATTTTGAGACAGCCTTGCATCTCAAAATAAATAAATAAGTCAACTTAAAAAATTAAAAAAACATATTTTGAATCCTATCATACAGAGATGAACTGATACACCATTTTAAAAATGAAGTTTATTACATTTAATTTTACTTGAATTTAACAGAGGAAATTTTAAAAACCCTGAAATGAAGCTTAAAGAATTACTGAACCTCATATACGTCCCCCCCGCAAAAAAAAAAAAAAAAAAAAAAAAAAAACCCATAAATATTAGTTTCTAAGAACCTTCCAAAGTTAAATAACATTATGAACATCTTTGGAAATCTTTACTCTGGAAATAAGAAATAGAAAGAGTGAACTGAAAGCAGAATATCTTTTATGTTAACATAATCGATTGAGGTGAAATTTGTATAACACAGAATTCACCATTTTGAAGTGAACAGTTCTGTGGCATTGAGTACATTGACAGTGTTGTGCAACCTTCCACCTCTATCGAGTTCAGAACATTTCCGTCATGCCAAAGTAAAGTACCTTACCCATTTAGCAGTTTGTCTTCATTCTGCCTTAGCCCTAGGCTCTGACATCCATCAGTCTGCATTCTGTCTCTATGGATTTATGTGTTCTGTATATTTGATATGAATGTAATCATAAAATATGTGATGTTTTGTGGGTAGCTTCTTTCATTTAACATAATATTTCAAATTTTTATTCATGTTATAGCACTTATTATTACTTCATTACTTTTCTTGTCTGAATGCTAGTCCTTTTGTTTATCCATTTATTCGTTCATGTACATTTGGTTTGCTTCTACTTTTTGGTTACTCTGAATAGTGCTGCTCTAAATGTGTGTACATGAACCTGTTTGAGAACCTATTCTCCGTTCATACGGGTATGTGCCTATGAGTGGAATTGCTAGGTCATATTGTAATTCTGTGTTTAACTTTTTGAGGAACCATCAAACTTTTCCATGGCAGTTGCATCATTTTACATTCCTGTCAGCAGTGTATGAGAGTTTTACTTTCTTTGAGACAGAGTCTTGCTCTGTCGTCCAGGCATGAGGGTTCTACTTTCTTTGAGACAGTCTTGCTCTGTCGCCTAGGCTGGAATAGAGTGGCACAATCTGGGCTCACTGCAACCTCTGCCCCCCAGGTTCAAACGATTCTCCTCCCTCAGCCCCCTGAGTAGCTGGGGCTACAGATGCATGCCACCATGCCTGGCTAATTCTTTGTATTTTTAGTAGAAACGGGATTTTTCCATGTTGCCAAGGCTGGTCTTGAACTCCTGAGCTCAGGCAGTTCGCCCACCTTGGCTTCCCAAAGTGTTAGGATTACAGGCATGAGCCATCTCACCCAGCTGGGTTCCACTTTCTCTACATTTTGCTAACACTATTTTCTTTCTTTTTTTTTTTTTTATTATCAGGATATCTAATGATACCGATAAATGACTTTTAACAAAGTAGAGAAATGATCTATTTCTTATATATTTAAGTAATTTATTTTTTTAATTTTTTTGAGATTGGGTGTCACTCTGTCTCCCAGGCCAGAGTGCAGTAGCATGATGTCAGCCCACTGCAACCTCTGCCTCCTAGGCACAAGCAATCCTCTTACCTCAGCCTCCCAAATAGCTGGGACCATAAGTGTGAGCCACCATACCTGGCTAATTTTTGTATTTTTTGTAGAGACAGGGTTTTGCCATGTTGCCCAGGCTGGTCTTGAACTCCTGAGCTCAAGTGATCCACCTATCTTGGTCTCTTAAAGTGCTGGGATTATATAGGCATGAGCCACCATGCCTGTTGCATATTTTCTTTCTTATTTAGCAATTATATTTCTTAAATAGTAATTATACATCATTTCAGACTATCATTCAGTTCTATTTTCTCTCCAGAACTACCTGACCAGTGAACATATTTTTCCCAGAATAAAAGGTTTCTTTTCTTCATTTGCTCAAAATCAGATATTTTCTTTCACATTTGTGTCATTTTTTTTTCTTTTAGGTATATGTGTAATTTTTTAAATAAGAGTTTTAAATTGCTGTTCTTTTTGTTTAATGCTCATAAGAGATTTATGCCTATATATATTATATATATATATATATATATTTTTTTTTTTTGATAGCGTACTACAGTTGTACTTTTGGGCTCCTAAATCATAAAATAACATTTTGGTAAAGTTATTTACACTCTTTTTGAGGACATTTCTCAACCTCAACCTCCTAGTTAAATATAAAACAGAGCTTCCTTGTTCTTTTGCTGGCCTGTCTTTCGAAGATTTCTTTTCACTATAATATTGAGTTAGTTGTACTGGTTTTTATATCGCATTTTTGTCATCATCCATCCTTTAACTACAACTTCAGAAAGGCTAAATGGGAGATGAATTTTCTGAGTTGTGAATATTAGAAAAATTTTCTGTTTTATTTTCACAGTTGATTGATAATTTAGCTGGGTATATGTTTCTAGTTTAAAGTGATTTTCCTCTGAACTTTGAAAGCTTTGCTTTAATTTTTTCTACTATCCATTATTCCTCCCGAGAAATTTGAAGCCAGTCTTACTCATTGAGGACTGTTTTAGGAGCTATCACACTGAAAACAGAATGGATAAAAATCCTTAACTTGATTAAGCTTACATTCCAGGGTGGAGAGGTTGATAAGTAGCAGGATAAATAAATAAAATATGTAGTACCTTAGATAGTGATTCTGTGAAGGAAAATAAAGCAGCCAGTGGGAGATAGAGAGTTTGGAGTATAGGGAGAAGAATGGAAATTTTAAATAGAGTGATCGGGGAAAGCTCACCGATAAGGTAACATGTGAGTAAAGACCTGAAGGAGGTGAGAGAGTGAGCTGAAGGATCACAAAGTACAAAGGTCAAACGGTATCAAGATGTAACATTGATGCAGTATAGTAAACATAGATAGAGAAGACTTAAAATCCTGGCCTTGGGGCACCTTTAGTAAAGGGGTTAGGAGAAAAAGAGGAATTAGTAGATGTGGCTAGAGAAGAAAACTCAGTGAGGTTAAGAGGAAAACTCATTTGTCTTTCAGAATATCTGAAAGTGATGTAAATGTTTGAAGGAAGGAAGAGTGATCATCTGTGAAAATCTTATTTATAGGTGAAGTTAAAGATGGACTATTCAAGGGAGAGTGGGAGGAGAAACACATGTAGCAGCAGCTTAAGGGGGAAGCTGGAGTGAAGAGAGGATTTTTTTGAATAGGAGAGAAATAGCATACTAATGGGAGCGCTCCAATAGAGAGGAATAAACTGATGATGCAAGAAAGAGTGGAAAATTGTTAAAGCAGTGTGTACAAGCAGAGATATAACCTTAAGTAGAAGCCTAGGTGGTTTATTCTTAATAAGAAGGAAGGCGGAGTATATCGGCACAGATCCATTGTTAAAAAGCATTTGGTTGAGCTTTGTACTGTCTCCAGGATATGTTACATACAGAATGATTACTTGCTTCCCACTTCTTTAGGCTTGTCCTGTAATTCTCCTTTGTGGTTTTTTCTTTAACAATGTAAATATATGGTGGTTCCTAGTTTAGGAATTCTGTGTTTAAAAAAAATTCTGTTAATGGAATTAAGGCATACAATAGGCATTTATGAATTATATACCTGTTGGTATTTTTAAAAAGTTTCAAGTTTGTAAATATTTCTGTAAAATGCTCTGGAGGACCTTCAAGCTACAGTAAGAGTAGAAACAGGGCCATCAAAATACTTTCTTATACCAGGTTGGGGAGTTTATGGTTCAAATTCACTTACTAGAAAATGATAAAGTACTTCATGGCCTAGATTGCTTGAACAACGGTGAAATTGTAATTGTAAAAAATCTATGATGCCAAGTGTCTATTGTTCTTTATGATTCATGTTTCTCCTGTTCACCTCAGCCCCACAGCACACTTGATAAATACGGGATACAATGATGGCATTAGAATTCTCACATTTTCCTGTTGGTATAATGTGATCTCCGCTGTCTCTCTCATGTGCTTCTGAGTAAGAATGGCAACAGTGTTACCCTTTGTACCCATTCTTGCTCAAGTTCCCAGCTCTCTATAGTGATACAGTAGTTCCCTCTTATCTGGTTTTGTTTTCTGTGGTTTTACTTGTGGCAGGTACTCAGCTAACTGGAGAATTACTTTTAAAACAATGTATCCTTTATAAGAAGATTTGCTTTTTAAATTGGATGATGTGAGGAAAAATCTTTTTTTTTGGGTGGGGGGAAATTGATTGTGAATGTTTTTAGGTTTTCACTATGTGTGCAGTAGACATAGCTGCCACTTTTGTGTTAAACAGCGATAAAAATCGTGAAGTGTAGGAAATACAAAATCTGTTTCACGTTCTCTTCCTCTTACTCATTTTTACAAGGGCTTAATGAACAGTGAAATTGACCAACAGTTTCACCTCCTTTTCTTTGCAGTTCTGATAGTCTCTTGTGGCACTTAGTACACCTGAAAGAAGTAGCAGGAAGATGGACAAATTGGAAGGGAGAAGTTATATGAACATATGATCAGACAAACAGAAAATTAACCCATAATAATTGAAAGATGTCTGTATTTCTAATTTACATTCACCTGTGTAAAACACATTTGTCAAATATATATTTCTATTTTATATAGAAATTTGAAGTTTTTACTTCAGATTATTCCCACTTTAGCAGTATTTGGGTTTGTACTAGTTTGTAGTGTGAACAGCTGACCCATTTAAAGCGAATTAAAAAAACCCTTTAATTTGTAATGATTTGACAATTATGCCACTAACATTATACTTATTAATGAGAATAAGATTTCAATTCTTAAAAATATGTGCTCCACATTTTATAAGTGGTATGAACAATAATTTTGCCTCAACTTAAGAATTACTTACTTTATTCAGTATACTAGTAAACATTGGCTGAAGATTCTTTGAAAACCCCAATTATTTGGAATATATTTGAAACCTTTGCTCTTATGTACTTCTGTTCAAAATATTACAGGGTTTTAGATGATTTAGGCTTAGAAGTTTGGAGTTTACAATTTCTGTCTTCTAAAGACTTAGAAATATGTTAGTATTATTGGAACCAAGTAGTTTTACCCACGTAATTGCCTGTCAGCTCTAGCAATGTGGAATAAAACTTATTGAAATAAGTCATTATTTCCTATGTGAAATATCCATTTAAAGTGTTTTTTACCTGATGAGCATGTATTTTAGTTCTTAAAATAGAACAGAGGAAATGAAGTATTTCTATAGCTAGGGGAGATTGTCAGCTCAAGTTCGATAGTATGATGTTTGACATTAGGCCAAGGATATTTTCAAAGTTTTAAAAAATGTTTATTGTTACTTTTGTAAAATACATGTGCTTTCATTATATCTTATGTGTTAATCTAATTTCCCATTGAAGTCACCGATTAAAGGGAATTCTGTACCAGTAGGGTTCTGAAACCTTGACATTATTTTAATCTGATAACAAATGGGTTTAAGTTCATGTTCTTTCAGTTGTTGGCAACAAATCTAAACCTGTATTTTTTGGATTTATGAGGATAAGTCCTGCTTTGGCAATCTTGTAGATTCCCAAGAGAATAGTTAAACAGTGATTAATCATTGTTTCTTCACTGAGTGTGCAGAAAAGAATGGAAAAGCTGCATTTCACACTTCTGAAGCAATTAATCCCCATGATCTTAGCCAGGTTTGTCTTGTAGATAAGTTGGGATACAAAACGGTTCCTAATTTATCAATGTATGCATGCCATAAAGTATAAAACACACAATTTATTTCATATCATTTATAGTCAAATGTAAAAAAAGAGTGACTTTGCCATATCCAAGAGTGTTTCCTACATTACCTTCATATAAACTAAGTACCAGAGATTACAATGGGATTCCTGTTTATTGTGCACATCTGGTGCAGTCACTATGCATTTTCTCATTCACTTGCTGGCATTTTTAGTGATTGTGGCATAAATCACCTTGCTAATCAGACACATAAGTGACGGGAAGTCATCTCCTGTTTTTGAACAATGGGAAAAAACATATGGCTTCTTAGACAGTACTTGGCTGTTATACTATTTATGTGGCATTATATTCTGTATTTAGAATTTCATATTAATTGCAGTAGTTTGGTTGAAGGCATTGAACATTCAGGGTTTGTGGTCAGAGTATTTGTTTTATACCTCTTTCAAAATAAATAATCACAAAAGGTAAAATTATAATCCTTGTATTTAGAAATTTTTAAGAATTTAATTCTCAAAGGGTAGTGAATATAATAACCTTTTATCCTTGGCTTTATGATACTTACCTACCTATTCCTCCCACTTTGATTTTTCTTATTATTGAGTGGCAGGAAAAGATTCGTTTTAAATGTGTAAATTTCAAATGAAAATTAATTTGTTCAGAGAAATTTTAAAAAGTTTCTAAATACAAAGGTGGGAAGAGTTATTGAGATTAAGATGAGTTGAAGATAGTATATATTTTAAAATGCTCCTGTGGATGTTTACTTAGATGCACTGATACAGTAATTCCAAGTTAAAAGTTAGTTTTTAATTATATCTATTTCAAAACACTGCACTGATCAGAGTAAATGTTACTGTCTTTAAAGCACTAAAATGTAAATTGATAGTAGTTTGCTTTTGCATTTTTGGTGAATTGCTGTTTATTAGTTGGAATCGCTTTTTGCAGACACTATAGCTTAAAGTAAAACTTTGTAAAACTGAAGAATTCTTATATGCAGATTTTAAAGACTGCCTTCAGTGTCTGTGATAGAGTGCTTACTGTAGGTGTGGTTCCCTGCCCCACCCCACTTTCAATGGGTTGTAAATATAATAGCCTTTTACTCTTGACTTTATAATACTTACCTACCTATTCCTTACCACTTTCATTTTTCTTATTATTCAGTGGCAAGAAAAGATTCCCTTTAAATGTGTAACTTTCAAATGAAAATTTGTTCAGAGAAATTTGTGTCTTTTACAGTTTTTTTCCTGTATTACATGTGATTATAAATTAGTGAGGTAAATTTTTAGCAAATATATCAGAGCTTATTTCTCAAAATTTGTGTTATTTCTTTGGAAGTGTTCCTCTTGGGAAGATGTACACATAGTCCATCAATCAAAGTACTTTTGGAATGCCTGTTTTTGAAATTTCTGTAGTGGAATTGATGTCTAACTGCTCAAAATGAGTACTTTGAAGGGAGATAAGATTCATTTTGTGTATACACATGCTACTATTTTTCTTAAAAAAATCAATCAATCAATCAATCATAATAGCTTGTCTTACACCCTTGTATACCTTATAGATAATTGGGCACTATGAATAGAAATACAGTTTTGAAAAACTACCTGGATTTTATATAAATGGCCATATTTATCCATTTTGTTTTAGAAATCTCCTATGATATTGTCTCAAGGACCACCTGCAACAGGAGCCCACAAATTGAATAAATGCAACATAAGGAGAGGATTTTTTTTTTTCTGTTTTTGCTTGTTTCAAAAATGCTACTATCCAGATTCTCTATTAAGGTATATTGTGCTATTTTATTATATAGTTATAACTGAATTAAGACCTTCTTTCTAGATTAAAATTATCCACTGCTTAGAACTGACTGAAATCTGTACTTTACTGCCTCACTTTTTGGCTGTTCTTACTTCCTTCATGCTCTTATAACCTGCATCACCTCTCACCCTCCATCATTTTTTTAAGATTGAGGTGTATTTCTTGTAGAGATCAATTTAAAAGCAATACAGTCTTAAATGCATGTGTATGTGTTTTCTTTTTCTTCATCAAAATGTAAAAATTCTAGGAGGATTGGATGTTAAAATCCAAGAATAGGCAATTTAAGGGATGGCTAAGAGTATCAAAATAAATGAGGAAAAATAAAGAGTTCTGTTCTTAGTAACTGAACATTTTGGAATTTGTCAGTAATGGAATTTCGAGGAAAAATTTCTTGCATAAAGCACTTGATGGAAAAAATATATTAACCTAAAATATTTGCATATTCATTATGTTTACAAAGCCAGGAATTTAATTTCTAAATGTATATCAATTTTTGAATGAAATTGTACTACCAGCAACGTTGATATTCATTGTACATTTAGTTTAAATGTTGCTTATATTTTTAGAGAATTTGCATTACTTTCTTTTAATTCATTCTCTGTCTTATTTACATTCATAGTTTGTTGGTACATATTACCCTCCAAAGTAAATTCTGAACTGAGTACAGACTTTGCAAGAAAAGTTAATATCCTTCTCTTATGTTCTCATGACATGAAGAACGAATCCTCCCCATCATAGGGATAGCCTTACTAATAATTCCCAGCCAGGCAGGTTATGTCCTGCTGTTTGTCTTTCTAGCCCTCCCTTTCCTTCCTTGTGTTTATCTGGAAGTGGCTTTTGGAATGCCAGTAGAGGTGATGTGCCTACCAGTGGTGAACCTAGAGTGCCTTCTAGTCCCTGAAATGCTGTAGGATAGGTGGTATGACACTGTTGGCCTAATCAAACCAAAATTCAGGTAAAAATGTTATTTGTGAACGTTTTCCAAGAAAGGGAGGCTTGAATTTGTAAATGGAAAAGGTATTTTGAATGACATATGTAATTCAGAATTTTTAATTTTTTTTTTGAGGCAATATTTCACTCTGTCGCCCAGACTGGAGTGCATGATGTGATTAAGGCTCACTGCAGCATCAACCTCCAGGGCTCAAACCATCCTCCCACCTCAACCGCCACTACAGGTGCACACCACCATGCCCATCTAATTGAAAAAAATGTTTGTAGAGATGGGGTCTCAGAATATTGCCTAGGCTGCTCTCAAATCTCCTGGGCTCAAGCAGTCCTCCTGCCTTGGCCTCCGAGTGTTGAGATTATAGGCATGAGCCACTGCACCTGGGATGTTGGAAATTGGTAATGGAGTATATTAAGTATGAGAAATGTGGAACAAGAAAGGGTGTTTTGTGTTCAAATATTTCTGTCTTTTGTTATAATGTTTAAGGCTCTTTCTGGGTAGCATGTTTTCAGTGTGGTCCTTGCTTGTTTTTCCTGTAGCAATTTAGCCTTATCTGGAACATGGAGGCCAGCAGGGTTGGCCTGCCAACCTGCGTGTGTGTGTGTAGGAACAGAAGTGAGTTTTTCCTAAGAAAAATCCAAGAACAAAGTGGCAAACCTGGTAACACTGTCTCAGTTGTTAGCAAAGCAGCATTTCTAAATTCAGCCTGGGGTCTGTTTTGTTTTCTGGTCCAGAAATCTTACACTTGTGGAGATAGATGGCTGGGCTGTGAGAAAATAAATCTGAAAGAACAAAAGAATCAGGAGAAGTATTGTAAGATGCTTAGAGACAAGCAACATGGCCCTTCTACTCTCTGAGCGATGAAGGCAAAGGGATTCTGTCTTTGCCATAGTCCACGAATTAACTGTCATTTTGCAGACTCCACTGTGCTAACAGTGTTGGAAAGGTGTTGGGGCATCATGGTTGATAGCAGTGCTACTTGGTAAGGCAGTCTTTAGAGCAGAGGGGAGGTTGGGTTCAGTTGGAGTGGGGATATATTGAAGAAGCTGCAGTGGTGCCCTGTTGGTGACAGTAGTGACCTATTATAATCAACAGTACACAGCAGAGAGGGCAACAGATATCTCAATGGGGGAACAGGTGAGGCCCTCCCATGCTTAATTTGGAGGCAATGGAAGCAGCAGACCTTAAGTATCACATAGGGATAGATGTGCCGTGGTAGGTGAGTGTTAGCTGATTGGTCTTTTTCAGGAATACGTGAGATATTTCAGGATGATTCCCAGCAAAGTTCTGGGAGGACAGCTTAGAGAGGCCTTTCATTCTGCATTAAAGATGGAGATGAGAATCACCAAGCAGAAATTACGTTTGTTTTGTAAAGTAATTTACAAATTTATTGAGATACTAAAGGTCTCTCTTTTCTCCTTCCTTTTTAAACGTCTTTCCATGAAGTACTTTTTACCTACTGTGGCAGTGTTCTAGGTGCTGGATCAACAGAGTTAAAATATGATTTTTTCCAATAGGAGCTTGTAGTTTATAGAGGAAAGAGTAGTGGTTAAAAAATTAACATCTAGTGTGATGAATAATGTAATAGATTAATGCATGGGAAACAGTGTACCCCAGAAGAAGGGTTCTTAAACCAGCTTGGAGGTCAGGATGGAGGATAGTTTCAAGGAAACTTCCCTGAGAATGTGCAGGCTGAATGTATATGAAGAATATTGAAATATTGAAAAAAGACACTCTAAGCAGATGGAAATACTGCCTGGGTAGCCTAGAAATGGCTACAAACCTAAAGTGTGCTGAGGAACTGCAAGTAGTTTGGGTTTGCTAATTGAGTAAGAATGAGACCTGAGACTATAAATACAAAGTAGATTTTTGAAGAGTCTTGTGGGTTATGCCAAAAATTTGGGCTTTGTTTTTTTCCTAGAAGAGGAAAGAAAAATGAAAAATAGAAATAGTCTCAAATTGCAGTGCTAGGCATTGTGATCTACTGCAGGAATTTAAGCCAAGGAGAGGTGAGATCAGATTTGAATGTTAGAAAGAGCACTTATGTGAAATTTAGCAGTTAAGATGAGAGGCAAAATTCAAGAGCCCAGATACTTACAAGGAGACTTTACACTAAATTAAGTCAGGGCCAGAGGTAAGGGAGAAGAAGGGACTAAATTGATCATATTTGGCAGTTGATTGCATCAGAGAAGACCAGAAAGGAAATACTGGCATTTGACCTGTGTGAGAAGTTGGTTGATAAGGCCATCCCTACAAGAGAATACAAGAGGAGCAGTTTGAAAGGGGAGAGGATGACTTCTGTTTGGACATCTTATTGATTAAAGATAGGAAATGGTTGAATGTATGGATCTCTCAAGGCCAGGAGATCAGTTTCTGTAAGAGATATGTACTTGGAATCACTAACATAAATGCTGGCATGAACTTATTTAAAAATTATTTGCTAAGCATTTCCCAAGCATTGTGTTTGGCATTGATGGAACAAAGATGAATAAGTGTATTTGATGGGTATCTAAGGTTGCCCAGGGATTATAGGTAGAGATAAGGAGAAGTCCTTGGATAAATTGACTACTATCAAGCCAAATGATGGGAAAAGAGAAACTTATCCAAGAGATGAAGGAGGGAAACAGTGAATAATGATATGCCTGAACACACAGATGGAGACAACAACACGACAGTGTGAAAAATAGAGGGGTTAGAAGTGAAGTGCCAAAAATGGTCGTCGAATTTGACATCTCTATGTAATGTGCCTTAATAAGCAATTGGAGTGGGGTGGTTTGAAGCAAAAATCAGCCCATTGGGTAGTTGATATATAAATGGAACATGAAGCATTATAGACTATCAGTGAAAGGTACTATGTTACTATTATCTGAAGAACTGACTGTCAGAGGGGGACACAGAGCAGCAGAGATTTGTTGTTCTTGATTTAGGAGAGACTTCAAAGTGTTTACATATTGGCGAAAAAGGCCCAGAAGGGGGAGAGAGAGAGAGGTTGATGTTATAGGAGAGAAAGTAAGTTAAAATTGTTAAATTTGGAGCAATGTATATGAAAAGATGGAAAAGATTTGGACTTACTAGTGGAGGGATGATTAGTTTGTACAGGAGGAGGGCTCTTTTTTTTTTTAACTGAGAATGCAAGAAATATGAAAGGTGTAGATTTGACATGACAATTCAGATCTCCCAGGAGGCAGATGCCAAGATGGAATTAGCAGCTTAAGAGATTTCTTGGGGAGAAATCTTAGTGGGGGGGGAGAGAGAGAGATGGGAGGAGGGAGGGGGGAGGGAGGGAATAAGCAGGCAAAGCCTTCAGACTCGTGTAGGTTCAACACCTATGGTAAGAGAGGAGTAAGGAAGACAGATTGGAGAGGAGGAACTTCAGATTCCAATGCAGTTTTCAAAAAGTCCCAGCTGAGACAATGGTGAGGGGATAATGCAGTAGACAGAGCAAATTTTGCCTATTAGAGATGCCTTGTGTTGGCAGGAATGGTTTTTCCTGCAGCATCCCTGTCATTGTTTGGGAGCTGCATGGCCTTGTAAGATGTATGGGGAGAGTATGGCCTTGGCTTAAACACTACAGTGAATCCTGAAAGTATGAAAGCTGGATATTGTCAGCTAGCTGTAATTCCTCACAGCATTTTGTCTCTTGAGTAGTACATCTCCTTGGCTGCCACAGTGGATGTAGGTGTTTTAGTTGGGTGAAAGGGTCAAAGATGGAGGGAATTCCTGTTGGTCCATTATTTCCTCTGCCTTCAGTAAATTAGGTGTAGAGGAAGAGAAGGTGTGTGCGATTGTGAGTGTTGGAAGGCTTTCAGGACTTGATTAACACAGAAAGAGAGAGCAATAGACTGGTGAGATGTTAGTTGAAATAGTAGCTCATATGATAGTTTGCTAAGAACGATGGTTTTCAGCTGCATCCATGTCCCTACAAAGGACACAAACTCATCCTTTTTTATGGCTGCATAGTATTCCATGGTGTATATGTGCCACATTTTCTTAATCCAGTCTGTCACTGATGGACATTTG